TTATATCTGAAGTTTGTGCTGATGATGTCGTTCAGAAGAACGATGAAAGCTCTATGACCAAACCATCCAGCTCAGAGAACGAAACTCCATCAAAAGATATATGACTCTAATTGGATTGTATGATTGATTGTTAATAGTATACACGTGTCGTCTATTCTCGTATATAATCATCAACTTAACTCGTGTCAGTGAATAACGGAATTAAATAAGTCAAATACGAGAATGAAGTATTGACTATGTAAACTTCATGCACTCATTGATTTAGGCAGACAATCGGGGGGATGAAGTTAAGAGAAGAGACCGGAGCGAAACGACACTCAGTGAAGAAGCCGCGTGAGCCACCTCGATATAACCAAGCGTGAATCGACATATATAATCACACAAAAAGAAGTTACAGAAATATGATGAGTAAGATAAGAAATGCACACACGTACACCCACGTAAAAAACAGTTAAGGTTGATAAGTCAAAATGTAACCCAAGTAGAATGGACATGTTGGTCTTCCTGAAAGCCAGAATAAGCTATGTAGGTTCAAGTTAGGACTAGCTGTGACAAGAATAACATTGAAATTACATGGTTACAATTTAGTTACTTATTTTAAACATAATTATATACAAAACAGTCAAGTTTTTCTAAAGAGAAATCACTTTAACTTGGATGAACATTGATTAATAAATATTAAAATACTTTAAACAACTTGCTTACTTACTTAAGCTTGTTACTCCCAATATTGCATAGGCCAACGACCAGCATTCTCAAATCCACTCTGTCCCACTCTGCCTTTCTTTCTAGTTCTATCCAATTTTTGTTCATTTTTCTCATGTCTGTCTCCATTTCTCGGTGTAATGCGTTCTTTGATCTTCCTCTACTCCTCCTCCTTTGGCCTTTAGGACTCCATGTGAGGGCTTGCCTTGTGACGCAGTTGTGTGCTTTCCTCAATGTGTGTCCTATCCACTTTTTCCGCTTGAATCTGGTTTGTTCTCTTCCACAGTAAGTTGTTGCCAATATTGTCTGTCCAACGGATCCGAAGTATTTTGCGTAGACAACTGTTAATAAACACCTGTATTTTCTGGATGATGGTTTTCGTAGTTCTCCAGGTTTCCGCCCCATACAGTAGAACTGTCTTGACATTTGTATTGAAAAGTCTGATATTGGTGTTGGTTGACAGTTGCTTTGAATTCCAGATGTCCTTCAGTTGTAAATATGCTGTTCTTGCTTGACCGATCCGCGCTTTCACCTCTGCATCAGATCCACCCTGTTCATCAATGATGCTGCCCAGATATGTAAAGGTATTTACAGCTTCCAAATCTTCTTCTTCAAGTGTGATTCGATTGTTGCATGTTGTGCTACATCGGAGAATCTTGTTTTTCCCTTTGTGTATGTTGAGACCTGCTGCTGCTGAGGCTGCTGTTACACTGATCATTTTCTCCTACATTTATTGTTGCGTGTGCGATAGAAGAGCCAGATCATCTACGAAGTCTAGATCGTCCAGCTGTATCCGATCTGTCCACCGTATCCCATGCTAACCAGACAATACAGAATATCGTGGTAAAATCTGAGAACCATACAGTATATACTTCAATTTCAAAATGTTCATCAACTGCATCAGACTTTGTTGTTCCTTCGTTTCAACACCAATCCAATTCTGTTTTCATTTTCTTCTTTACGGTTTTCTCAACCTTCTGCAGGCCAAGCATTCCACTTTCGATCGGTGATAGATACTACTTACATCTGTCAACATCAGTGGCATACACCACACTACTACTGCTACTACCTATAATAATAATAATATCTGTGATTCTACTTCGATTAATTATCTTCTTTTATTCGAATGTAATTTTGACTAATTCTTAGCATGAGCCACTCAGTTTATCTATTCAAGAGAAATAAAGTATAGGAATCAGTGTATTTTTGTTGTTGTTGTTGAGTGCTGGGCTACCTGTTCCTGACATCTAAATATGTCAACAAGTTACCTGTTTCCTTTTTTTTTTTAACAGATCATTATTGTCGATTAATTGCATAAGCTATTCAAGTGCGTTTATGAAAATGTTGACGACCTTAAGGCTAAGTCGGCCAAGGACGAGGTAACAGTGTTACAAATTTCTTATGATACAAAGACTTGAATTGTTAAGTCGAATCTCAACAGCTTTTGGTATGTGTAAGAAACGTGACCAAGCCTCATAAGGGGAACTAGTAGGAATATGATGAATAACTTTAAATGATCTGTTTTTCTCTACTATATGACTGTTATTGATCAAGTTTGATAGAACAGAGCTGCGTATTGTTTTGACGAAGGGAGTTGCTCACTAACTCGCTGTTCATTTATCTGTTTGTGCGCTCGATATAGCTTTGTTCACATAAGCAGTTGAATTTGTAGATGCACGTGAATGTGGCGAATCCATGTGACTTTTCCCTTCGTTTAGGAATCACCGCATATTATCTGAGTAACAGTAGACAAAGGTTAGCAGCATTAAATATCCCCTCCATTAATCTAGTCAGTTTGTCTCGCAGAACATCACTAGCTACTTCTCCGTTGAATTTTAGCTTCTTACCAACCGTTGATTTCGTTATTTACCTGTTTATTAAATGTAAGTGTTTCTTCAAAAAACCTTATTGATAAACCATTTCAATCAACATATTATAAATAATCTCTAGTTGCTTGTTTACAGTGTCGCATGAACATATCATTCCAGCTCTATTTGCAAGACATCTAACTACGTCTCTCTTATAATGAATGAGTACAAAACTCAAGAAATGTGTGTATTGGCTTGCTGAAGAACTTTTTCTATATACACTTCTACTGGTAGAACAACTTTCTTTTCCGTTTAACAAAAAGTTGAGGTAACGTAGTTCGTTATCAAGTTTCTCTTCACGCGTAAATCTGATTGTTGAATGCTTATTGATAAATAACTCTAAGGCTCTTCTTCTCGAATGTTCCGATCAACGGTAATGAAAGTATCATCAATGTAACAGCAGTAAAATTCAAGCTAATCAGTAATCTCTTCGACAGGTTCACTTTCTAGTTTTGCGTGAAGACGTCGGGACGTTTAGGATCTACAGGTGAACCTAACACTATTTCATCAACTTGTCTATAATATGTGTTATTAAAGACAAAATGAACGTTCATTATAAGTTTCAAAAGTAATTATTTTGGTCCAACCTCGGAAATCCCAATATTGATCTGTTTTTCATGTAGTTATTAATACATAAAGTCAATTGTCTTAGTTAATGGTACTTTTTTGAGCAAGAAAGCAACATCTAAAGACCTCATCCGTTTCCCATTTAAGTACGTATGTTTCACCTTGGAAGTGAAATTCAAAATGTCTTTAACGCTACTGTTGGCAACTAGGACTCAAACTAACCACTTAAGTTTTATGGTATGGGGAATTATACACATCTAAAACTGGACGTAGAGGAGGCCCGGACTTGTGGACTTTGGGTGAACCATAAAATTGTCGTGTATGCAATGCTGTTGGCTCAAGTGAATCATGAATGATTGAAGTAATTACTCTTCTATCTTTTATTTCTTTAAGCGAATTAGTTAGTAGTTTCTCTACTTTCATGTTTATATCCTTAACGTCGTTCAGTTTAAAAAAATTAGTCGGATCATTCAAAATGAGGTCATTTTTATCGGTGTAATCAGTTGTGTTCATTAGAACTAACCCTCCTCATAAATTGCCTTGGTTGGTTCAACAATTTCGTATCTGGATGTCAATAATACCGTAAAATCTGATGAGGATCGAAATGAGACAACTAATTGTATTCCATCTCCTCGACTAATATTAACTGGATTCACTCATTAATGCAAGGCTTTAACTGTTCATTTTTCTATATATAAACTAAAACCTTTTTGGATGACTTGTTTACTGTACAGTTTTATTTATATTCGGTAATTTTAATGTTTGATTATATTTCTTTGAAAAAGTTTGGACCAGATTGACGAGCGAAACACTGGATTTACTTATATATACATACTTTATATGCATAGCTTACTGCCCTTTAAGTGTTACATTAACTCGGAACCTAACTATTGCTAATCTCTTCATTCAAATTTAGACGAAACTTCTTAAATATATATATTACTTAATATAGATTCAGTAATGTGAGTGCATGTCATTATTTTGTCATTGCAATAAACACTACTTACTTGCTTACGTCAGTTACTCCTCGTCGAAGATCATAGGCCGCTCACCAGCATTCTCCATCCAACCATATACTCGGCAGTCCTTTACAGCTTCTTCCATTTGTTATTCGTCCTTTACATATCTGACTCTATTTCCCGATGTAATGGGTTCTTTGGCCTTCCACTTTTCCACTTCCATTCACCATTACAAGTTAGGGCTTCACTCGTGATGCACTTTGGTGATTTCCCTAATGTATGTCTTATCCACCAACTCCATCGTCTATTCCTAATTTCCTGTTCAGCTGGA